TTGAGCGTCTGTATGTCATCGACGTTCGTTATCGCACCATCGATGTAGCTGGCAATTTTTCCATTCGACTCATTGTTGCGTTCTCCGATCCATGTGGTACCGTATAGGCGTATCATGGGCTCTCTTCAGCCCAGGACACAACAGCATAATATACATATGTATATTACAGAAGCCACTACTGCGCTTGGGTGCAAGTCCTGGTGCAACAGTGCGAGCAGCATGCATTGCTATAGCAATCAGTGTGGCCGCAGCGCTGGCTGAACCACCTTTGCTAATGCCTTTCAGAAACAGTGTTCCAATAGGAGAGGTATGATCTTCTACACTGCAAATCACGCATGTATTAGCACTGCGTGTCCATACAATAGAGCCTTTCAAATATTTTTGTCGTAGATCTGTTTTTTGATCATGCAAGAGTACTGGAAACAGCTGATTTCCAAGAAGATCCAAGCCATTTCCAAAGATCTTCAGATGAGAGTTTCAGGCCATTTTTTGAGTCCTCTGTATGGCGATTCTGAATCCTGACGGTACAAGACGCATAGCGTCGACTTTCATAACAAACTTTGGCAACAGCTTTATGAAAGCGTACAACCGCGATGAAAAGTTTTTAGTTCGCAAAATAAGAAGGATGTAAAGGGCCATGGAGGCCAAACCAAAAAGCAGCCATTCCAAATAGGAATGCCTGTGTTGTGCTAGACGAAGTTTTGTAATGAAAACTACAGAACCGTAAATGACAGTGTATAATGTATAGGTCAAGAACTTCTTGTGAATTCGTAAAAATCTGGAGTTGTTAAACTAGCGTAAGGAAAACTGATAGAAACTTGACTAAGGAAATTAATAGAAAAATGTTATTTCAGGTTATTATATTTCAGTCCCTCAAAGTTTCATTTTTATTTGCAGGGGATCTTACTAAAACTCGTGACAGTTTCATCGGTAATATCATTTCTAACTCATGTGCTAATGCTCTTCATTGTGAATGTAGTGGAAAGGCGACTCCTAATTGTGGTTAGAAATCGTTTTATCGCACATTTTTTGTTTTAAAATTTTTATAAAATGACTATTAGAGCGTTGTTCTACTTATAATTCCATTATTCTTATTGTGACTACTTATAATTCCATTATTCTTATTGCAATTGGTAAATGCAGATCTGTGCGAAATATTCGATGCGGGGCACAGAATAGCAAAGCAGCAGAATTAGTAT